ACTTCAATTAGAATGAAGTAATTAACGCCAGCGCGTTAATCCCAAAAGTTGAATCCCAACCTGCTTAGCGATTTCCTGAGAATACAAGTTATTTCAAAGAAAAAGTGTCAACAATTAAGTTGGTGAGTCCATAAGTTGTTTAGAAAAATTGGATGCCATTCCAAAATAGGTGTATGTTTTCCAGTAAACGTAGTGCTTCAACATGTAAAGAGTTGTGATTTGTGGTGTTGAAAATGAATGCATTAGTTCCAGAAAATCCCATATATGTTTATAAGTTGTAAATGATTGCACCGGAAAAATCCCTTCTTTTCCTATTTTGTTTGTATGCAGGAAACACTTTTATTTTTCCTCGCACATAATACCAGTCTCTAAGACCGAAAATTGTAAGAAACCACGTTTCTCGTAAATGTGTCATAGTTTTATATATAATAAAACTACGTGAAGATCGAACCGGTTGGATGAAGAATAGTTTTAATAACCACTCGTTCATCATAACTTAATATCATAATAATTGTATATCCGATGAGTTTTTATAACCATACTAAACATAATATGCCTGTAACGACGTTCTTCAGGCGTCGCATTGCTATGACAACTGTCACCCCAAAAGACGGACTGTAGCTAACAGTCAGGGTGCGGGATCATGACTTCCCGTATAGATCTATACACATTTGACACGTTCTCGTCGCGGGAGATTCTGGTTATAAACAGGCCTTACTGCAGTACTTTCTAATAAAGAAAAGTAAAGTTGGAAGATGTGCGCGTCTCATGGATTCTCAATTTAGTATATATTAACATGATAGTTTTGTATGCAAAGTTTAACCTTTCACACAATGATTTGATAAACCGAAATCATAAGTTTTTAGAATGTATAAAATGTTTTAACAACGAAGATCATTATACTCCTCGTATAAGTCTAATGCACGATAATAACCGTATGTTTACTTGTATTCCCCCCCTAAAAGAGTTGTAAAAGTATTTAAAGATGTATTTAAAGTGTGTTAAAAAGGGGTATGAACTCACTTGACAACTTGAAGATAGCGAGATGGAAAAACGGCAGAGTTTCGTCTCGGGAAATGGATTTTTCCTCGGAAATCTCGGGATTTCTCGGGAGAAAATCGACCTTCGATCTTGCACGAAGTGACCAGGGCTTCGGGTAGTACGAGCACGAAAACGAGGAAAAACGCAAGAGAAATGAGAGAAAATGAGCCCCTTTTTCGGAAGCCTTCGCATGCCCTTTTATAGGGAGGCTGGTCAGCCTTGGTACGCGGGTCGGATGGGATGGGTTCCTGGGTTCGCGGGTCGGATGGGACGTGTCGCTGGCACGCGGGTCGAATGGGACGTCGGGTCGGGTCTTTAGTTCGTGCACTTCGCATCTTCATTCTTACACCCTTCGCATCCCTTCGCATTTATCTCTTTAGAATTCTACAATTTCATCATTTATGACCCCATTTGCGAAGTTGAGTATTGATTTCCAAAAATGCGAAACTCAGGGACAATGTTTGAAACTTCTGTTTTCTTCCCCAATTCGCATTCTACTGTGAAATACTTCGCATCTTCATTCTTACACCCTTCGCATCCCTTCGCATTTATCTCTTTCGTATTTTATCTAATGTGAAATACTTCGCATTTCATTCTTACACCCTTCGCATCCCTTCGCATTTATCTCTTTCGCATTTTATCTACTGTGAAATACTTCGCATTTTCATTCTTACACCCTTCGCATCCCTTCGCATTTATCTCTTTCGTATTTTATCTAATGTGAAATACTTCGCATCTTCATTCTTACACCCTTCGCATCCCTTCGCATTTATCTCTTTCGCATTTTATCTACTGTGAAATACTTCGCATTTTCATTCTTACACCCTTCGCATCCCTTCGCATTTATCTCTTTCGCATTTTATCTACTTAATCGAATGCGATTCACAAAATTTTCATTTCCAGATGCGAACACAGTTTAGTTCTTGAACTCTAAACTTGCGAAATCAAAAATTCATATGTTGAACCCATATGCGAATATTAACCCAATTGACTTCAAATGATGTCCGACTTGAGCGTTCTTTTCATGTATGTTTGTAGTTTAACGATATCTATGACTTTCATTTAGACACTTAAGGTCGTAAAGTGTTTTATTGAAACTTTGCGTTTTTACGTAACTTCGGATTGCCGGTTTTTGGTCGGAAAAACTTATAATGAGCATAACTTCTTCGTTATAACTCGGATTTTTGTGTTATTTATATGTTTGGAAACCTTATGAGAATAGCTACCACATAATGTACTCTAAATAGAGTTTTTGAATACTTCATTTTCTATTTCCTTTCAAAAGAAGATTACATGACTCGAGCTTTACTGACCTGAAATAACGGGTTGTTACACCTCGAATGCTGAAGCTCACTAAAGAAATCCGTAACTGTTGCCCTGACGAATCCCCGAGCTATTAGTACAAAATAACACCCAATTAGCAATTAGGTTCCAATCTATGGTCCATAATCCATACTTGGGATAAAAATGACCATTCTACCCCTGGCCCAACTTGAACCAAAACTGAGGTCTGGATCCAATAACCAAAAAGGCGAAAAACGAAAAGATCCACAAAGGCCCATTAGTGGCCCAATTTTCCAAATTCGACCCAACCCCTATATGGGCCTTATCCTAAGCCCAATAATTCCCTTAGTCCAACATTTGATCTTATATGGCCCAAATAGGCCAAAGCAACAAGGTGGTCCAAAGATGCGAAGCCCAAAAACATAGCAAGCTCAAAGCCCAGCTCAACGAAACCAGGTCATGGCAAAATCTAGGTACATTAGGCGTACATCCAGTTACGTGGGGCGTAACGTCGCTTATTCCAAAACTCATTTTCTAACTTAACCACTAAAGCACTTTGCACGTAAACTTTAGAGAACCTTAAAATAAAGCTCTTAATGCATAAAGTCGGCACCTTTATGCATTTTCAAGACTTGATGGGAGCTAACAACCATTCTAATCCAGCTAGAACATGCATGGACCAAAAGCAAGGACCAAGATAACATTTTTACGAACTTATAGACTTAGAAAGGGCAAGATCTAGCAATATTGGCTCTAGGAGTGGCTCAAACTCACAAGGAGGATTCAAAACCCAAAAATAAGCACAAATCTATCCCTAAACCCATAAAACATAACAAGAAGACAAGGTATGAACTTGATCCCTTAAATAAGTTGGAAATGAAGCCAAGAGTCTAGATATATAAGTCTTCCTTTGAACCACAAGCTAGCACCAAGCACCCTTTCCTTGAAAATGAGCAAAAGCACACCAAAACGCACACTTAGATCTCTCAAACACTCAATGAGAGGTTAGGGTTTCCGAAATGAGGCTAGAAGTCAATGGAGAATGAGAAATGAAGGAGCCTTGATTTTATAAGGATGCTTAAATAGTGCCCAAACCCTAAAAATTAGGGCGTGGCACTATGCTCATTATGTTGGGCGTACTCACCTAAGGCACACGCCACTTACCATGCACGCATGGAACTAATTTGCAAAACTTTTCCATTAAAGGCCATTTCTGCCAATAATTTAAATTGCTCTAACATCCTCATCTTAGGTTCGTTTCCAACGGAATTATATCCACATGAAAAGGTGGCGAGAAGCCCTATGCTTCTAACAAATCATCATTGCCTTTAAATTTCCCTAACTAGAACCCAAAATTCATAAAAGACCGAGTTATTAAATTACGATTATACCCTTGGCCTCTGAAGACACCATCGAACACTTGGATCACTTAAACCATAACACCCACATCCGAAAAGGGCCAAATCCTTTCTTCCCTAAGGCCCTAAGACTCATGACAACTGAAGATTGGGCCGTAGCCCTTAAGAACGAAGAAAATCCAAAACCGAGTGTTATAAAAGAGTTCCAAATATGTGAATTAAGCGAGAGTGAGTTTGTTTGAGTCTTTCTTGGTTCTTGACGTCTGAAATGCATGTGTGAGCATTGTTTTTCCGTCTTTCTCTTATAACGTTCTCAAAGGATACGGCGAAACCACTTTATGTTTAGTGGTTTTTATGGAAGGATCGGGTCTTTTCAAAAGCTTCTTGACCCAAAAAATAATCTTTGTGACCAATTTTTTTGAGTCATCTTCTTTTCCGTGAGTGATAGAGTGCGAGGTTCGAGAGCGTTTTGTACGAACAAATGCTTTATTGGATCAATTTTTGCAAGCATTAGTAGGTGAGGAGATAGCGTATGATCTGTGTGCTAAGCAAGCATCAAACATTTTCTACTTCAGCAACTTCTACTTATATTTGTTTTGTGTTTTAAAATAACTTTAGTTTCTCTTTTGTTTTTCTTTTAGATGATGAAAAACAAACTGAAAACTATAATGCTTCTAATTAATTGAATCTTATTTTATAATCCATTTTTATTATATATATATATATATATATATATATATATATATATATATAAAGCAAAGTGATGTCTTTATGACAATTCGTCAAGTCCGATCGAGAAACCTGCGCCCAAAGTGCTTACATAGCCGCTCAGCATTTGGCTAAGATCTTAAATAACTGATTCATAAACCACTCGAGCTTTATTTCAGTCTTTTGTGAAGTGTTCGCATAGCGATTCAAGTCCTAACAACTTGATGTCAGACTGTTCAGTATAAGGTACATCTAAGTCCTCTAACATAGATAACATAAAGACTAGGATTAAATGCTTAACATAACGACTCCTATGCTTTCACGAAAGAAGAAGGAGCTCAGAGACATTTAACAATGGATTGTATTAGTGTTCCACGCTATCTCAACTCCTAGTTCTAGTAGTACAAGCTCGAATCTGATCTATAAGAATAGATCTTAGGCAGAAATAGAGCTCTTTGAAATTGAAAGCGGTATTCCCCCTTATATATATATATATATATATATATATATATATATATATATATATATATATATATATATATATATCCCAAAATAAATAGAATCATGTAATTCTCTCCAAGGGCTGCTGAACTAACGACTCTATTAGAAATGAGAATTATCAATTTTTACACGAATTTTCAAGTGGTTGAGATTGGTCGAGTGATCTCAGTTAGAGATGAGATTGCACGTATTTATGGGTTGAACGAGATTCAAGTTAGGGAAATGGTTGAATTTGCTAAAGGTATGAAAGGAATAGCCTTGAATCTTGAGAATGAGAATGCAGGTATCGTTGTCTTTGGTAGTGATACTGCTATTAAAGGAGATCTTGTCAAGCGCACTGGCTCTATTGTAGATGTCCCTGTGGGAAAGGCTATGCTAGGGCGTGTGGTAGACACCTTGGGAGTACCTATTGATGGGATAGAGGGTCTAAGCGATCACGAGCGAAGACGTGTCGAAGTGAAAACCCATGTGATTATTGAATGTAAATATGTGCATGACCCTATGAATACTAGGTTAACAGCAGTAGATAGCTTGGTTCCTGTAGGCCGTGGTCAACTAGAACTTACAATCAGGGACCGAAAAATCGGAAAAACAACTATTGCTATCGATACCATATTAAACCAAAAGCAAATGAACTCAAGGGGCAACTATGAGAGTAAGACATTGTATTGTGTCTATGTAGCGATTGGACAGAAACGCTCAACTATGGTACAATTAGTTTGAATTCTTTCAGAAGCGAATGTTATGGAATATTCCATTCTTGTAGAAGCCACCGCTTCGGATCTTGCTCCTCTGCAATATCTAGCCCCATATTTTGGCTGTGCCATTGGGGAATATTTCCACGATAATGGAATGCATGCATTAGTAATCTATGATGATCCTAGTAAACAGGCAGTGGCATATAGACAAATGTCATTATTGTTACGCCGACCACCACACTGTGAGGCTTTCCCAAGGGATGTTTTATATTTACATTCCCGTCTCTTAAAAAGAGCCACTAAACAATCGGATCAGACAGGACGCAGGTAGCTTGACCGACTTACCCATCATTGAAACACAAGAAGAATCCAAAAAGTAATTCAATGATTTCACAATAGGAATATTACATAATAATTTAAAATTATTAAAATTGATAGAATATGGCAACTTGTATTTTTTTATATACGATTATCTATTTTTCTTATGAAATTAACAACCCTAAAAAAGTAAAAATAATTATATCAAGGTTTTGTATTATAAAATTTATAAATAACTTGTGTTCTCTAACCAAATTAACAGCCCTAAAAATGATAGCATCAAGGTTTTGTATTCTAAAATTTATAAATAACTAAGTATTCCCAAGATAGTCTTTTTTTTTAAGATAAAGTCGGTAAGTAGCAAGAATTGTTAGATTTTTTGATTGTTTAAGTTTTGGAGTATTATTTGTTAAGTTATTGGCTATTCTTGATTTTTTAAAGTTTCAAAAATCATTCCTATTTATTTACGGAAAGTTTTAAACCAAAGATTTTTCCTTTTCTTTAATATATATATATATATATATATATATATATATATATATATATATATATATATATATATATATATATGGGAAAAGTGAATATACCCTTAAGTGTATATAAGCTTAGGTACCCAAACACATCATAATACGTCATTTTCTTATATATATTTATTATAATGTTCCTTAAACTTCAATCTTAACTTGATTTACTTTCAAGATATTCGAAATTTCAGTATTATCTTTCTCGTCAATCACGTATTTTTGCCGAACATCTACTAGGCCATATATATTGTAGTTGAAAATGAAAATTATGTAAGAGTAAGATAAATATCTAATTTATAAAAATCTTGAAAGTACGTCAAGTTAAAAGTTAAATTATAAGAACATTGGACAATTAGAAAGTTTTATATGATGCAAAACGATTTAGTATGGTGAGTTTGGGTACCTAAACTTATATACATTTAAAGTATATTTACTTTTCTATATATATATATATATATATATATATATATATATATATATATATATATATATATATATATATTGAATAATTAACTCTTACGGAAAAAAGATAAGGGTATGCAATTCCTTTTCTTTAATATATATATATATATATATATATATATATATATATATATATATATATATATATATATATATATATATATATATACTACTTATAAAAGAAATCTAACTATTTCTATAAATAGATTGAATATAATAATATTATTTTTTTAAGACGTCCAAACTATTAAGCTTGAAGTACAACCCATTTATAATATAATAATATTAAAACTTTAACCCTATCCTTTATCCCTAAAAATCTCGTATCAAATTAATAGAAGAATTCATTTGCAAATTGAACCCGCCAATCTCAACACTTCAGTCATTTGAAGCGGTCAATGTCAACAATTTATAGAGGATCTCTTCTCTCACATTGGTAACAAGCCATCTCATAATATCTATCTTCGTAATCCCTTCAAAGTAAGAAATATACGCACACTCTCTCGAAGAACCCTAACCAGTAACCAAGACAGTATAACCACCACCACCACAGCCGCTCTGCCTCCTTCCGCCTTCAACCAACCACTATCACGACTACCGTCCTTCCTCTCACCTACGACATGAACTTTCTTTTGGAACATAATATTTTTCTTTAAAAAAATATCGTTGAAAGAAGCTATTTGTCCCCGCCGCTGTGCGCGGGTAACGGCTAGTATATATATATATATATATATATATATATATATATATATATATATATATATTTATATATATATATATATATATATATATATATATATATATATATATATATATATATATATATTGAATAATTAACTCTTACGGAAGAAAAATAAGGGTATGGAGGTATGCAATTCCTTTTCTTTAATATATATATATATATATATATATATATATATATATATATATATATATATATATATATATAGGGCTAGGTTCAAATGTTCTTGACATCTATTGTGTGCCCATATGCACAAATCTGGACCAACGGATGAAATAGAATCAATGATCTTGATCTGAGGGTCTATGATATTAAAATAGGGTAACATGTACCATATAATAACATAAATTTCACCATAAGGGTATTTTGGTCAATTAACCTATATTAAAAAAGGAAATTTCCAGATTTTAAGGGATAATTAATACCCTTATTTTTAAAAATATGAATTTTCTAAATTTAATTCGAATATAATTTTTAATAATATCCGATTTCATTCTGTTAGAATGACATGAAAATCAACCATAAACTAGTAAATATATTTTTGACTTTATTCTTGTAGAATATGATTATATTCAATATTTATATATATTAACATGCTTAAAGAATTATATTACATATTATCAACACTAACATTTTATAAAGAATACATGTCTTCTTGCACTAATAATATATCAAATAATTACATTGTATGATTGTGATACAAAGAATATTCTTGAATAACAACAAAATTCTGAAAGAATGACAAGTGTAATTCTTTAAAACATAACAAGATTCTTAAAATGTGAGTGTGATCAATCTTTGATTCATTCTTCAAACATTTCCTATCATGTCTTCAAACCATTCTTCAATCAATTCCTATAAAAAATGCAACAAAAACTAAGAATGGTTAAAAAAAATATCGTATTCTTTAAGAATAACTTTACTGAACATGTTCATTCTGTGGAAAAATATCATAGCAAATCTATTACAAAAAAGGCAAACACAAATTCTAAAAGAATCATTAACTCTAAAGTGCAATTACCATTACTGCACTACCATTATTCTGACAGAATATATATATATATATATATATATATATATATATATATATATATATATATATATATATATATGCCATTTTAAATTTTGGCAGAATGCATATAATATTTTAAATTGGCATTATGGGTTGTAATTCTGATAGAATATAGCAAACATTAAAAAAATTGTAACTTATTCTAATAGAATGTAATCTTCAAAGTATAAATTTTGATAAAATTCAACACGTTCATTCTGTGATCAATCGGAAGACATGAATATAAAAAATACCTAGATTTCACCGGAGAAGAAGAATCGGCGACCACCACCACATCCTCTCCACCTCTTGACCTGCTTCGATCGGAGCAACAGCCCCACCCCGTTGCTTCTCCTTTTGTTCTTCGGTCTAATCACTCATCAGAGATCGATACCTCCTCCCCTCGCTTTCTTTCTCTTTTGTTCCCATCGATCAAGGCCTATGAAGATTCGACTTCATCGTTGATTTCTTTGCCCCATCGGAACCCCTCCTGCCCTCTGATGCCCTCTGATCAAACCTCTAGCACATCTTCCCTTCTACAGTACCCCAAAACCTCCGAAACCCCACTGAATAGCAGGGACCAATGCTAAGAAAACGAGAGGGAGGATAAATCGATGTATACGTGATCGGCTAGGGTTTTTTTCAACAGATTTTGACTACATTCCATATTTAAATGAATAATAAAGAACATATTAATTATCTACCATATTTAAATATGTCAAGATTACTATAATACATTTAAATGATTTATTTAATAATTAATTATTTCCTGAATTCTTATTGGTGCACACAGTCACACAATAGTTGTCAAAAACATTTGAACATATCTCTCTCTCTCTCTCTCTATATATATATATATATATATATTGAATAATTAACTCTTACGGAAGAAAAATAAGGGTATGCAATATCCTTGTCATAGATCCACCCATACGGTTAGTTGAGATGTAACATTCCATACATAAGGTATACAGTTCAACACTTCACATATCCAAAGTGTTGTTATTTTTTTGGATTTGGCCTCTCAGTGAACCTTATAAAACGTTTATATAAATTGCTCAGAGATTTAATATTTTTAATAATATAAAGGATATACAAATTAAAAATAATAATTACAATAGATTATACATCTAAATTAGAAACTAAATAATAGCTTTATGAAATATATCCTCAATATAACCGAGAAAACACAGATAAAACCGAGGTTGGCTCAACTCTAAGAGAAAGCAATGTAATTATGTAAACCAAAGTGTTTTTTGCTCAACGGTATCAGGTGTTGTCCTCCCTCTTTGAGGTTGAGAATTCAAGTCATATATGAATTTAATGTATAGTTTAGTAGTATGTTAGACTTGCCGTTTAAAAAAAAAATTAGGTAAACTTTTCAATTAATGCTTCTTTTAATATGCTCGATCGTTTAATTAACCTGAAAGTTAATACATGGCTTTCTAATCACATGACTTTCTAAAATATGGGGAATATTACAAACCACATTCTGCTGGCCACTTTTATCATATTTGAAGAATGGGATAATGACTTGAAAGGGTAACGAACTTTCGACTTTTGTTACATTTAGTCACTAAACTTTTTTTCGTTATCTATTTGCCATTGAACTATTGAAATTGTTTACATTTTACCCTTATAAGGGTAAAATGTGAACAGTTTCAATAGTTCAATGGCAAATAGATAACGAAAAAAACTTTAGTGACTAAATATGAACAAAATCGAAAGTTCGTTTCCCTCTAAAAAGTTCAATGAATAAATGTGAACAAACCTCTTCTTGTATTATGTTTTAGCAAATTATTTATTTTTGTTAAATTATAGCAACATTTGTTGATGAAGAAATCTATGAAATTTAAAAAAAAAAAAAAAAAACAAAAAACAAAACCCTGAAAATATATTTTTAAAAAAAAAACAAAAAACCAAAACCGAAATAAAAAACCAATGGTTTGACATTTTCCAAAATAAAAAATCAAAATTTCCAATCTGATTTTGGTTTTACAAAAAAATGAACCATTCTGTAACGACCCGTTCCCGGTATGTTGATTTATTGGTAATATTAGTGAGTTTTTCAAGAGGGACTCGGCGAGTTCTAGCCTGACTCGCCGAGTAGGGTCGCGTCTGAGGGCACGCGTGAGCCGGGGACTCGACGAGTCCATATCCCCGACTCGGCGAGTCCATCTGTCTGGGTGAAACCCTAAAATCCCCGGGTTGCCCACTATTTATACCACCTTATAGCCCCCATTCTCGCCTCCCTCACCCTGAGAACGCAGTGATAGAGCCCCAAACCTCCATTGAAGAGCTTATATGTGTTTTGGTGCCATTTTGTGAAGGTGTGAAGAAGGAGAAGAAGGAAGAAGCAAGGAGAAGGGTTGTAGTGCAAAGATCCAAGGCCAAATCAGAGTTTATTGAGGTATTTTCGGAGTTCCATCTTATTATATGCTTTAAACTTCCATTAGGGCTCTCCTAAGAGCTAGTTGGTGCTTGTTTCAAGCCTTACACTTGCATGAACGTCTTATTAAGTCGAATATCTATGGATCTGAATGTTGGGGTGTTGTAGAGCCCAGATCTACTGTCTTTTTGGAGTTATATTGCATGATAACCATAGATCTACCCATTTTATGCATCTTTTAGCCTTATTTCCCTTATTCATGAGGTTGTGCACGTAAAGTTGGAAACTTTACGTGGTAAAACAGCTTATTGGACTCAGATCTATCAATTGTATGCATTGGATTCAAACAAAATCAAGTAAAAATCAGTTGCATGGCGGCGACTCGGCGAGTCGGAAGAACGACTCGACGAGTCGGGTCGCGAGTCCGAGTCCTTCAGTTTTATCAGTGTCGAGTGGACGAGGTGAGTTAGAGAGTGGACTCAGCGAGTTGAGGGTGAACTCAGTGATGGAGGGACTCGGCGAGTTGTTCATCAACTCGGCGAGTCCAAGGCAATCTTCTTGGGATCAAGAACAACTCGTCGAGTCTGTTCATACGACTCGGCGAGTCGGATGAAGATTGTCTGAGTTCTTGGATCAAGAGGGTACTCGTCGAGTCGATGCCAGACTCGACGAGTAGCAGTGAGTAAAGTGAAAAGTGAGAGTAGGACTCGGCGAGTTGGGTGGCCCAACTCGGCGAGTCAGCCCAAAAGGAGAGTTGACTTTGACCGAGGTAAAAGAGTCATTTTACCCCAAGCGCAGTGTTTAGTATTTGATTGAGTGTGTTTATGGACTTGTAGCCGAGGAGATTCAGGAGCAGCCGCCGTTAGCTTTCCGAGCCACACACTCAGCAGCCAGCTTACGAGGTGAGTTTCCTTCCAGTAGGAACGGGTCTAAGGCCACAATGCCGGCCCGTTCAGTTAGCAGTAGTTTCCGGATTTAGGTCCGATGCAGTAGTTGGTATGTTCGATGCCTTCGTGGTTCGAACAGGATTTGTGTGCTATGTTTTATGTGTTAAGTATTATGTGTTCCGGGCCACGGCCCGATGTAGCATGTCGTATATGTGTTATGCTAGTTGATGTGTTATGCTATGCCATGTTCAGTCAGACAGTTCCGGACTTCGGTCCGATGCAGTTAGTTCCGGACTTCGGTCCGATGCAGGGGACAAGGTCCCAGTCAGTTCCGGACTTCGGTCCGATGCAGTTAGTTCCGGACTTCGGTCCGATGCAGGGGACAGGTCCAGTCAGTTCCGGACTTCGGTCCGATGCAGTCAGTTCCGGACTTCGGTCCGATGCAGTTAGTTCCGGACTTCGGTCCGATGCAGGGGACAAGGTCCCAGTCAGTTCCGGACTTCGGTCCGATGCAGTTTCCGGGCTTCGGCCCGATGCAGTGGGCAAGGCCCAATATGTGTTTATATGTTATTGTATGGTATGTGGTAGTTTGGGGGAGCTCACTAAGCTTCGTGCTTACAGTTTCAGTTTGGTTTCAGGTACTTCCGCAAGCAAAGGGAAGAGCTCGGGGTGACAGCATCGCACACACCACAGCATAGCTTTTATCCTGGGGATGTCTTTTGATGTTTTGGATTGATGTTGTATGATACAGTTTTCCGCACAATATTTTATTATGTTTTGGGGATACATCGCGTATGTTTTATGTTATGATACTTATATTATGGTTTGATTATATTGAAAAACGAAAATTTTTGGGTCGTGTTTTTGGGTCGTTTCAAGTTGGTATCAGAGCCCTGGTTTGAGGGATTCGGATACACTTCCGGGTGTATCTGAACTCAAACTAAGGGAAATAAAAGATTTTAGTAAAATAAAAACGTTTTACAAAAAGAATTTTGAAAGCACTTGGAAAGAAAGAATTGTTTTTAACAAGATAGAGGTGTGTGCATGCGGTCAGCCGAGCTCAAGTAAGTACTCCCAAATTACCCATACAAGTTATTTGTTCAGTTTCAGTTTCAGTAGAACAGCATGCTAGTATAGGGCTAAGGATCTAGGAGAATGCCTTATGTGCCTGCTTATGTGTTACAGCTTTATGAGTATTGCATGCTAGAATTGAGTAGACAGCAGTAGGATAGCCTGTTTAGGTTATGCCTGATAGTATGAGCTTAGCATCCTATGCTAGTGCAGTTTCTTGTTATAAGAATAGTTTTGCCTGAGTCTATTTCCCGTGTCCGAATGCTGCTTGCTTCGTGCTTAGTGGGGTTCTGAGTAGTGGGAGTTAGCCATTAGGTGAACACGTCACACCACATGTGATCAGGTTTGAATAATCCCAGAGTGCTGGAACTGGCTCTACTGCGCAGCTCTTGTTTGAGTCCAACCGTTGTAGGGACGGATCTTTTACTTGAAGGATTATCTGATCCTCATCACATGTGATGGTGTTTAGGTGGTGGCTAACTGGCATTATGAGGAGACCTACAGCAGCTGAGGACCAGTCGCGTTGAGCTTGAAGTTTCCCTAGGGCAAGCCTAGGATGAGAGTAGCAGAGAATGGCAGTAGTAGAAGTGACTTGGTGGAGTCAAGGCAGTTCTTGAGGAAAGTACGGATAGATGTGGAAGGTAGTAGGGGCCCATACTACTGAAAGCAGAGGATCCGTACTCGAATTAAGGAAGGCCAAGACAAGACCAGGAAGCTAGTAGTAGTATCATGATCCCTTGAGATATTTCAGTGTTCTGATGTTGTTATGATATGTTTCAGAATGGTAGTTTTGCGTCCGAGGCCAGCAGCCGGCAGTCAGATGCCGGAGGGGGATCAGGATCGGGATCAGGCCCGGAGGTCGGGCAGATGGATGAGCAGACTAGGGAGTTCCTTTCTTCTGAGGTTACCCGCATCATACTAGAGCAGACTCCTGTGATCTTCGGTTCGATCAAGGAGGGTATTTTAGAGCTGATGGATGAGAGATTGAGTACTTTCCGTGCGAGATGGCGGCCGTGATGGGGTCGCGCACACTTACGTTCAGGGAGTTCAGGGCATGCGGGGCTCCTGACTATCATGGGGCACGGGACCCCATAGCGAGTACCAGGTGGTTGGCGGATGTGGCCAACGCATTCCGCACTAGCAGATGTCCCGAGGGGGACAAGGTCAGATTGGCGTCCTGTCTTCTGAAGGACAGGGCACGAGATGGTGGGAGGAGGTCGGACATGCCATCGGGGATGATGCG